GGGTGGGGGTGGGGGTGGAGGAAGTATTTGGGAACTAAAGGAAAGTTGTATGTTTCATTGTTGCTACATTGCACCCTGACTGGCTCATCTCCTCCCTGAGACCCTTCTGTAAGGGGGTGTTCAGTGGCATACAAAGGGGCTTTGGGTCTCCACTCGGCACTCCCCCCTGTCACAACATGCTTTTTGTTCTGATGATGCCTGATACCAGATACCTTCGACACCTCATGATCGCACAGGCTGGTGTGCTTCTTCCATGTGGGCTTTGTTGCTTCTGAGCTAGTTTAACTGAGCTTGTTTAACTTCAAGCCTTTAAGACCCCAAACACTGTATCTTTTGATAGCCAGGCATCATCCAAAGCTCTTTCTTATACACATGAGTGTCTACAAATTTGTTTCTCTAGTTCACCCAAACTAACACACTATGTACCATGATGTACTATGATGCACACAGTCAAATTCCTTCACACAGATACACCTTTCCGACAGTCTCTGATGTCAGCAATGATATCCCTCCTTTCGCAGAAGGGTGACTGGAAAGTGCAAAAAACCAGGCGGTTAAGGGTAAATCAACCTGCTAGAATCTGGCTGTGTGCTCAAGGACAAAATGTGAGAGAATTCTAGCTAGAGGAAAAACAGGAAACAGGGAAGGTGTAAGAAGTGACTAGACACTGGGCTGCTAACTGTGAGGCTGGCAGTTCAAAACCACCAGCCGCACCGCAGGAGAAAAAGAATTTTCACTCCTGTTAAGAGTTACAGCCTTGGAAACCCACAGGGGCCGTTCAACTCTGTCCTACAGGGTCCCTATGAGTCAGAATTGCCTCGGTGGCAGTGGGCTGAGACATGTTTAAAAGGCAATGGGAAGGAGCCACACGGTGAGCGAGGAGGACCTAGGTCTGTATTTCTCAAACTTGGCTGACTACCCAAGCAATCTACAAAGCCAGGGCCTTATTATTACTATTTTTTTAAAGTAGAATCTTTAAAGAAATCTGGGACTCGGTACTTCAGAGTTCCCAGATGCTCAGCAAATCCAGACCGGCCACTGGAGCACACAGCCCTAGACAATGTGCACAGTCAGCTCCAGCTCCGTGTTCTGGGAACCAAGGCCACTGCTCAGCCACAACCCTCACACTCCACAGCCAAAGAACAAACCTCTCTTTGCACGTTCCTCACGACTCTCTTGCTGTAGCAACAAAACTGTCCTCAATTAGGGAACATCAAAATCTAAACCCAATGTTTGCCACTAGGTAGATTCCAATCTGTTTAACAAGAAGACAAAACCTTTTCTGAGAATGTTGATGAATATCTACTAGGATAAAATAGTTCTAAGTGAATGAAACAAGCAGATTTATAAAAAAACATGCTTTTATGAGAGGAAAACCTCCTTTTGTAGCCCTTTTATTCATTTCTTGATTCTTCCCACAAATATTCATTGACCGCCCCCCTTCCCCGCCCAGTATGGGTCACAGTAGGAGCTCCAGAGCCGTCAGGCAGTTGTTGGACTGCAACCACAAGGTCAGCGGTTCCAACCTCCACATCCAAGAAGAGGCACCAAGATGAGGCTGTCTGTTCACATAAAGGTTTCCCACCTCAGTCACTCTACGTAGGATCAACGTGGCCCAGATGGCCACCAGGGCAAAGGGAGGGGTCACTGGGGGTGGAATGTTGTTTCGTACGTGCAGTCCGTGTGCGGCAACACGCTGCTACTGCCTCTTACTCTCCCAAAAGAAAACTAGGATCATGGATTACTTCCTCCAAACATGAATGTTTAGACCGTAGATGACAGGCAAAGAACATCGTGCGTGGAAAAGAGGGACGGTTTAAAAAGAGGAAGTTCTCACCAGGATGGAGCGACAGCGTGGCTGCACTGCTGGGCTCAGAGATAAGCACAGTTGTGAGATGGTACCAGACGGGGCGGCGCTTCATGTTTGCTAGGAGGTGAACTGTTTAGCTGGCATCTAGCCACAGATGACAGGCTGGCTTTCTAGAAATTTCCTAGCATGCCCAAGACAGCCTATTCCTAGTTATAAAATGCCACAAGGGAACGATTTTCCTTCACTGTTGTCGAGATTAAAACAGTCAATGAGTAAAGTCGGAGAATTCAAGAGAGCACGTGTGGATCCCCAGGATGTGGTGACGACAAGAAGGCAGGGGAAACGAAAGCAAGTTTACGTCCCTGCCACTGCAAGGATGGGGCGAGCCAAGGGCAGTTGGGGCTTCAGCCAATGGAGCAGGAGATCCAGCTGTGAGTGAGCTGGGGGGCCAGGAAGGGAGCCCACAATGCAAAAGGCACACGCAAATGAAGGAAGCTAGTCTGGGGCCAGAGGGTCCCATGCTATCAAGAGGTCTGTGGAACATTTGGAAAGGGCTTGTGCAAGACACGAAGGAAGAGAGTGAGGAGTGGGTTTTGAGTTGTATTTAAAAGCACTCTCTTGGGTCGACGGCTGGGCAGCTTGTGAGTGTTCTGCGACCCAGTTTGCATCTTCTACCGTCTTGGTCCCAGCGAACATAAATCACGATGGAAATCTTAAGGGTGCAGGATAGTGCCCTGTCCGAATTCTGGCAGGGATGGAAGCCCCCGAGGTAGCAGAGTGAGTCAGCAAGGCACTTACCTGGCAGTATTATTTCAGGGAAGCCCATTTTTCGGGCTATGGATGTTGACCTGTCAACCAAGTGTGAAAAATTCTTCTGAACCTGCGTCAAGTCACCTGGCAACAGCTTCAAGGACACCCAAAGTCCTTCAAAGAAATGAAAAGTCAATGTTTAGTTCTCTGTATGATCTGCATCTGAAAGCACAGTGACACAAGGCTAAGAAAAATATGTGCACTGTAAAATAACTAGATAGTGTATTATTATAAAGAAGAAGTCAATGCTTCCTAAGTCTATCAATTTGAAAAGCTGTACACAGCCCAGTAGCAAACTGCATTATAAACCTACTAAAACCCTACAATAGTATATGTCACACTAGTGGTAGAAATGATGTGTACATCAATGGAAACAAAGCGAATAAGCAGTAAAATGTTATCATTACGTTAGGAGTTCCAACAGAAGAGAACTATATTCTCATCCGCGCCCCCCCCCCCTAGATTCAACAGTGCTCCCTCATATGCCCTTCCCACTCAGGATCTCTGTGACCACGTGGAAAATGAAGCATCATCAGAATGACGTTCTTTCCAGTCACCCCCAGCTGCAGGACAGGTAGAGAGAAGTGAGGGGGCAGAAAAGTAATCCAATCCTCAAAGAACCCCCAAAAGGTCACCACCAGCTTGGTCTCAGGAGAGTAAAGTATTTGTATTAAAAATTATTTTTCCCGGCAGAATTCAGTGCAGAATTATTTTCCTTATTATTAATTTGAATTTAAAACTTGTTTCAAAAACCAGAACAGCTGGTTAAAATTGTGTCAACAGAAAGCTGTGTGGGGCGAGCTGGGGTCTTAACACAGCGACGTGTAGAATGGTTATAGCCCACTGTTTCTGATGAACACCTGTTCATTTGTACTACTTGTTCTCCCTTCCGCTTTGTTTTCGGAAGTGGAATGGCACAAGCCTAAAACAGGGCTATTCCCGTGAAGAGTTTACAGCCTTAGAAGCCCAGGCCGTTCTATTCTGTGCTTTGGGATCCCCACCAGTCAGTATGGATTTGATGGCAGTGCATTTGGAGTTGGGAACATAGTTTAAGAGTGGGGGATAATAGGAGTCAGCACTGGGAAGGAGGGTGGACAAAATCAAGAGGGTGCTTCCGGGATCATAGTCTGGGCCGTAGAATTGACAAACCACAACTGTGATCTCATCCACTGCTGAGTGCACGCCCAATGCACTTCGCTGTAGACGCCACCAAGCAGGAGTTGGGGCGGGCAGCCCCCAGCAGAGCCTGAGATAACAGAAGGCCAGGCGTCGAAGGACCTCGCTCTGTATTGCTCCTTCCACCCGCGCCCCACGCCCCATAGCTCAGTTCAGAGGGCTGTGCACCTTGTCCTTTATGATTCACTTCCTTTGCTGCTATCACTTTATTCAAGACTGAAGTGAGCGGCTCATTCTCCCCGATCACGTGGGATGTTATCAAGGGTGACATGATCAGCTGCCTCTGTCGGATATAGGTTTCCATTGCAATCCTGGAAAAGAGAGACAAGTGAGGTAGACGGCAGAGGAGGAGGAAGGCCACAGAGCTGGGACACGCAGTACCAAGCACTCCTAACCAGAAGGTCTGTCCCTCCCGCCTATCTGAAGCACCTGCCTGTCCTAAACACTTGTACATCGTAAACACTGAATTCATCTCGGGACAGACTCAAAGTAATGGTGAAACACAGGCAACACTTGGTGCTCTTTGTGAGGAAGGAGCGGCTGCCGTCACAGAACTGAGAGGGTTGAGGAAGGGCAGGAGACCTGGCCTCTAGTTGTGTGGGAGTCTCCTCTCCGGGCCTCAGTTTGCCCATTGATGAGCTAAGGGCCACCTCCACCATCGTCACAGTGTCTGTAAGAGAAATGCATGTGTAGCTGTGTTCAGAAGACTGATTCCTAGAGTCCCGGGATAGGACAAAGTACATTTAGGATGGCGCTAACTCCAGCATCAACAAAGAAGCTTGGCTTGAATTGGCCCATCACGCTGAGCATCACACACTGGGATCAAAGCGGCAGGCACAAGCCCCATTCTCTGACAGCAGAAACACCATCCCCGCAACTGCACAGCAGCGCGAAGCCTTTCAATACTTCCCAGTCTTTTCTGCAGTGTTGTTCTCTCGCCCACTGCACATGCCAACTTTCTCAGCAGGGTTCAGAGTTGTTGTAGACCGGACAACACAGGGAAACTACACGGCAATCATGCCACTGGAATTTAGGATCGCCATAACTGGGGTTTTCAGGGGGTTTGTTTGTTTTTACATGAGTCAGTCTCTCTAGGAGGACCAGCAGAAGACACACAGGGAAAACCTTCTTACTATAATATACTATCAAGCATTGTGGGGGAGCCGCTGAGAACACTTGCTACAAATCTTGGGAGTTAAATGTCAGAGGCTGCAATTTGCATTTCGAATCCTTCCTCCTGGAGGGGAGCTGCAGTAGGTGGTAATCGAACTAGGGCTGGGATCTGGAGAGCCCCAAAGCACAGTTACACATGGAGACCACCTCAGCACTCATTATTTCACTGGGGGGGGGGGTGGTGTCACTGGCTCATAAATCATACAGAAAGGCTCAGAACGAGAGAAGGTCACCCAGCTCAGAGGTGACAAGGTGTGTGTGTGCTTGCGTGTGTATCTGAGTGTGTGCCAGAGGAAGAGAGTGGCTTCTGTGAACACAACAGTTACCTCAGAATCAGTATTAGTAACTAATATTGTAACTAAGTTACAGAAAGGGGCTCTGGTAACATAGAGGGGTCACACACAGAGCGGCTAATCACAAGGTCAGGGGTTTGAACCGTGCAGCTGCTCCTCAGATTTAAAATCCCCAAAACCCCAAGGGGAAATTCTACTCTATCCTGTAGAATCTCTAAGAGTTGGGAATCAATTCAACAGCTGCGAATTTGGTTTTCAATTTTTTAAGTTACATAAAGTGCTAAACTATCGCCCCATGTTCTTGGAGGGTCAGTACATGGGTGACGAAAAACCTATAGATAACCACACATTTTTAAAATAACCAACGGCAAACTCTAAATGAAGTATGGGGCACCATGCATGATTATTGCATACATTATTATATTTTCAAAGAGACTGAAAGGTGCTACATTTAAAATTTAAGTATTAGGATTTATTAATATTTTAAATAAAATGACAAAATAATATTAAGTAGTATAGGAAAACTGAAAAATAGAGATAAAAAACAAGAGTGGAGCTACCTGCTGTTCCACAAACAGAAACCATTGTTGCTAATGATGTAATTAATGATAGGAGTATGTTCTTCGAAAAATAAAGCACCGTTTCAAAAGCACCAAATACATAGTTACAATTTATCATCTTCTAAGAAATGTAGGTAAATGTCAGTATCCTCCCACCCACCCATCACCTGATATCTTAAATCTTATTAAGGCTTGCTCAAGCCCAAAATTTGCATTTCATTGATTGCCAAGAATTGATATGAAAGGCCATTTCTATGCATGTAAATTTCCATTTTCTGTCCTTATTAAATTGCTACAAATTCTTTTACGTACTAAGGATTCTCATCCTTGTTTATACACATTGGCCATATTTTATCCATTTGTTTTGTCTGTCGGTTTCCACACCTCTCAGCTGACTGATTATCTTTCCCTACCTGAGAGCAGTTTGGACCCATTTGCGTTAAAGTCTCCAGCCTCAGCTCTGACCTAGCAGACCGTAACTCTTGGAGTCCAGCCACACATTCACCCCTGCGCTCCTTCAAAGGTCCAGGGTGGAGATTTGAGGGTCACTGTGGTGCTCTGTGGGGGTCCTTCCATGCACTCCTGGGCTACTTACCTTTCCTGCCACTTACCAGAGCCCCCGGGCTGCTCGGTGCTTTGCTTTCCTACTTCCTAAGCCTGGTTGGTGAAACCATGCTATCAAAGTGTGGTCCCCACACCAGCACCATCAGCATCACCTGGGAGCTTGTTCATTGCAGACCCCAGGTGGACTGCACCCCGATGTGCATTCTAACAAGATCCTGGGGTGAACTGCACATACACACGCCACTTGACAGCTGGTGTTCTCTCACACACGACACGCAATCTGATGCTGTTCCTGATCTCCCCTCGCCCACCGTGCCCAGGGACACTGTGCGCATTTCCACACTCAGTGGGCACCTCGCTCCGAGTTCTGGTGTGGGTTGAGATTTGGCCTCCATTTGGATCTTTCCGTCCATTCCACAGAGTTGGGACGCTTGCGTTGGCCCTATGCATTCAGAGTCAGACAAAACGCCCTGCATCAGGTTTCCTGTCCGGGGCCTATCCTCCGATCTTCCAGTGGGCAGCGTCGCCCTCGCCGACGGAAAACGCTTCCTAGCACCTGGGCCTAGGTTCATGCACCATCCAAAGGTCTCAAGTCACCCAGGATAAATGCCAAGGTACTTACTGCTGAAAGGGAATAAAGTGCTGCTTTTCTTCATCGTCCACCTTCCCGCGGATGATATCGGTGATATCCATCACTAAGAAAAAGATAAACTTAATTAGAGGAACTAATTGCTTCGCGCCTCCGCAAGTCACTGTGGAAAAGGGCAGTATCCGCAAGCACAAGCCATGGGAGGGAGGAAGATAAGAAGGATAAAGTTTCTCTCGTTCCTTTGCCATTGACAACTCCCAGCACCCCTAGCTCAGCAGAGGAGCAAGCCAGCCGGTGCTCCAGAAGGGCCTTGGATTTGCTCAGCGCAAACCTGCAGACAACCCCTGGGAAACACTCCAAAGGACTGCCCACCAGGTGCTAAGTGCTCCAGAAACTCGAGACAACTCTTGCTTTTCACAAGCCTTCATCCAAAGACACAGAGAACACTGATTTTTGGCAGAGCTGTCCAGAAAATGAATGACCTGGAGGAAGAACTCCACATTGGAAGTGGGAAACCGCCTCTCTTATGTGACACACGCTCACCTGCTTTCCGGATCCAAAGTAGGATGGACTTGACTTAGAGTGAGCCGCACCTATAGCTGTCCATTTTCACTATCTACAATGTTCCAGCGTGCCCTCTGCCTGTGTTGTCACCCTCACTCACACATGTTGAGAATACAATGTCCCGCATCCCCAAAGGACAGAAAAATATGAGATTTAAAGATATTATAAAGGGTATTAAAAGGAAATAAGAGGGGAGGAAGAGGGAATCGATTGCAATGAGTCACACATTAACCACATCCCCACACACCCCCAGGGGGCAAACAATAGAAACCAG